TCTACGTGATGCAGCCTAAGCAGAACGACGACGAGGACACCGCTGAGCCGACGGCGGTGGATAGTTCAAGCAGCGACAACCTGTTCAAGCCGGAGTTGCCCGAGGAGCCGGTCAAGGTCAAATCCAGGACTGCGAAGGCGACGCCGAAAGCTACGACGACAACACTCGCAGTACGAGCCGAACCAGAGACCTACGATGACGAGATCATGGGAGATGGACCAATCATGCTGGGAGATACTGCTCTACTGAGGCAGTGGCTGGAGACCATGGGACCGACGATAATCAGGAGTGGCAAGTACGAGGGCGACAGCTACGAGACGATCTATACAAAGGACAGGCACTATGCAAATTGCCTAGGACGGTGTCTCAAGCTGGACGCAGACGAGAGCAGGAGTTACAACCTCGAGCCAAGCATCAAGAGCTACATTGCATACAGCATCATCAAGTCAGCAGTGCGTGTACGCTGAACCCCACTACCACATATGTGACGATATCTTCGAGCCAGCCATGGCAGTGGCTCAGATGTGAACGGTGGTGGGGATGATGAGTGATTTGGAATACAATTTACAGATGATGAGTGATTTGGATTACTATCTACAGATGATGAGTGAAAGCACCCCCTCAAGAGCTCAGGTAAAGATTTTGATATATTGATATCTGTTGCTCGGTGCGCAGACCTCAGGTAAATAATTTATCTTGCTATATGTTGCTCAGTGCGCGGGTTTCTTTTATCTTGATATCTGTTGTTCGGTGCACGGACGGTAGCTTGACCGTTCGAGCCGATACTATTATTGAATATTCTAGAAGCTTGCTGCAGAATTTGCCAAGGCATTATTTAGCAACGTTTCCTTTTCCTGTGTGAAAGTTGTATTAGCAAGGATGTGAGATATAGGATGATGTTTAGAATTATCTATGTTGCTGCTCTCGCTCGCTCATGCTTGCACTCTCTTGTTCACCGCGGCCGTTTTGGCTGTGGACCCGCCAGCTGTGGCGGGAGGGTGGACGCACTCAACGACTGTCTAGCTTGACTCGGTATCATATCAGATCGTACTCTATCTATCTCTTCTTGCATCAAGAGGTTGTGGGTGGAGAGATTTGGATCAATATTTACACCCGCCCCCCCTGGCGACACGAAAGTCCACAGGTCAAGCACTCGAACGGCGCAACCTGGGACCGGGACAAGCGACGGGGAAGCCGGGGGTAAAAAACGGGCACTGGGCAACGCGGTCTCCTCCCCCGCCCCTTTCCCCCCACATCCCAGACCTCCGACGCCATGATTTCCTCACGGCGTCGACCCCCAGAAGCCTCGACGCATTCCCTGCGACCGGCGTTTCATCCCGAGTCGATGTTGATGGTCCCGAAGCCCGTAGGGGCCCCTAGAGGCCGACGTTCGGGAAAAACCTTCCTCCTCCTCCCAGAGCTGCTGCGGGAGATGGCTGAAAAGATCGACCATGCCGAGCATCGATCTTTGGAGCAAGGGATGGTGGCCTGGTTGGATCGACCGAGCAGGACCCAGCTGCGCAAGTTCTTGGTTCCAGACGAAGCCGCGTGATTCAAGGAGACCAGGGGCAGGAGGAAACAGCGAGGACGGAAAAAAGGGGGCTTGACCAATCGAGGCCTCGAACAACAAACCTAAAATGGACATGTCGCGCTTCATCCGTAACGGCACTAACTGAATTCGCACACCGCACATTCTTCCGTCAACTCAACGTGTTGCAAGAAGTTATTGGGCACGTCATCGAGCTGCTTGAACACAGCAAGTGTAGCGTGAAACGCAGCACTGGTGGACGTTGGATGTAAGACAGTACGTGGCACTTATACAGTCGAACCATCTCGCGTGTAAAATAAAGTCGACCAGTGCGCAGAAACGCCTTTAGTCATCAGGTTGCCTCTCCGCATCGTGCAATTTCCTTTGAATGGCGTAGGACATGCTTTGCATCAAAGACAACCCTTGATATTTGAATTGTTCGCCGCGCGGGCGGCACTTGTGTGAGATGTGCTCGGGCCCCATCTCCACTTCGAACAACACTTAATTTGCGGCACCCCAAGAAAGCAAATAGACTTGGCAACGTTTCCATGCGTGGCCCAACGGGCCAGAGGCGTGCTAAGATCTCCGGCGACTGGTTAACAATATTTCTAGTTTGCGCGCGCGGGGCGGCCCTTGGGGGTCCCCTGGCGAAAAATACACCGACCGCCGCCCGACCGCAGCCCGGCAACTGCTACTCAGGGATGGTTATCATCCTGGGTGTGGCTTCTCAGGCCCCCCAAAACGCGCCAAGAGTGCCCCAAGAGGCCCCCAAGACTGCCCAAGAGGCCCCCGAGACGCCCAAAGAGCGCTCCAAGATGCCGATGATGACCCCAAGACGGCCCAAGAGGCCTCCACGTAGCCTCCAAGAGGCCTCACAAGAGGGCCCCGAGAGGCCAACATCATCAATTGTACGATGGTTTTGGACGGCTTTTGGCCTTGTCGCCTTTTCGGCCATCCGATGCTCCAAGACGGCCCAAGAGGCCCCCAAGATCGCCCCAAGACGGGCCAAGAGGCTTCCAAGAGGGCCCCAAAATGGCCCAAGAAGGCACCGAGACGGTCCAAGAGGCGCCCAAGACGGCCCAAGACGGCCCCAAGACGGCCCCAAGAGGGGCCCAAGAGGGGGACCACGGACCGAAAACTCGAGCCTTTCGCCCCAAGAGGGCCCCCAAGAGGTCCCGAGAGGCCCCCCCGAGGCCCCCAGAGGCCGTCAAGAGGCCCCCAACAGGCCCCAGGAGGCTCCCAGGAGGCCCAAAAGACGCCCCAAGAGGCCCCAGAAGGCTTCAAGAATGCCTCCTAGGCGCCCCCGAACGGCTTCCCAAAAGACCCCAAGAGGTCTCCAAAAAAAGCATCTTGACGACGACCCTGCTTGGCCCCAAGAGCAACACATGATGCCAACGAGAGGCTTCTTCCTCCGCCCCTTCCTCTTCCCCCTCCTCCTCCTCCTACTTATCTTCATCCTCCTCCTCTCCTTCCCATCCTCTCCTCCTCCTCCCCTCCCCTTCCCCATCCTCATCTTCCTCCTCCTCGGCGGCGCCACAATGGTCCCGGGCCCACGGCGAAGCAGTAGCGATGCAACATGGGCCGGCGGAGTGAGCGAAACGATTCAATAAGCTTGGCAACGTTTCCATGCGTCCAGATGTTTTCTTGATTGCTGCGACAACCACTGCATATATCCTCCAGTTGAGATCGTCAACAAAAACGCATTTCTGGAACTCGGCGTCGGTACTGGAGCGGCCCACATCAGCGAAGCACACGTTCCAGAGCGGAGGGCCGAACACAGTGCCCCAGAATACCATGTCCTCCGGCGGGAAAGGTTCGGATAAGACGCCGTCTGCGCAGACCCTGGCAGCGCGTGGCTCCGGCCAGGCAGAGATTACCTTCGCGACTCCCGCTGGAACGCCAGTGGCGCGGCGTTTCGCAAAAAATCTAAATGATTGTGCTCTGCCAAATGTACCGGATGCGTCGGAGCAGTAGACTGCAAACCGGCGGCCTGCCCCGATTGCCCATGCATACCCAGTGGCTCACTGTACAAGCTAAGGCGTCGGTTATGGCCGCATGCGCGGGTACATTTGAAACATGGGATACGTAAGCCGATTGGCAAATATCCGTTCGACCACTTTGCTGATCTGAGACGTCAAATGAATACCAAGGTAATTTGCCTCATTCGACCTCGCCTTGCGCGCGAAACGTGGAAAAGCGAGTGAAGCTTTTCAAGGTCAAGGCCAGGCGGGCAATCATGGACGGTGGCACTGCGAGCTCATGCGCACAACTTTTCAACAGCCGCACTGACATGGCATCCGGGCCAATACGGGAATCCTCTCAGAGGCGTCGGAAAGCCTTCAAAGCGTCTCGACGCCGCGTTGGGCTGAAACTGAAACTAGATATGGCGTGGTTCACTTTCGCGTCGATATCGGAATACACATTCGAGCAATAATCGGGCAAGCCGAAATTATGACTGGAAGCATCCGCGTATAAATCTGCCTTCTGCTGTGGTTCCAGAGCCCACGATCCAGCAGACGACAACGATGGCGGAATGGAAATATGAGAGCTCCCAGCGCGAAACATGAGGGAATCATACGAAACCTACCATTTCTTGCAGGAAGGGCGCAATTCTACTGCTCGTTTCCGCGTGCGGGCAGTGTGCAACCGATACTCACAAAGCAGGCCCTCGGAACACTACATTTGCCGGCCCTCGTATTCAGGCGTGCCGCGGACGTCCATCAGTGCTGCTATGGGTCCGAAACGCTTGTCATTAAGCCAAGGGTGTGTGGACTTTCGGATGGTCGCCAGAACGGTCGGGACGAAACGCACAGCAGTGCTCATAAGCAGCTCGGTGAAGTTGAAAAATGCCTCCGTGGAGCCGCATCCAAGACCAGGGAGCGCCAATCCAAAGATCTTAGGGCCCCACGAAACCCATTCCAAACAATTTTCTTCAACAACCACTGCTCTCGCTGGATCGGGAGAGAACTAGAAGCACGCTTTGCGACCTTCACGTCAGCGAAGTCGTGATCGCAGACTGGCGGGTGAACCGTGCAGGCGACACCAAAAGTGAAGTCAGGCGATACAAGATCGAGCAACGTGTTGCCTCGAATAGGCCCCTCCTCCTCCCCCTCCTCTGAGCAGGGACCGACCGTCCCGGCATTCCTGTAGGCCTACCACGACATGTTCTTAGAGTCCAAAACTGTCCTACACCCTGCGAAATGCTTAAGAAATCATGGGTTAAGAAATTCATAGTCTCAGAACTTGAATAACAACCCAACGTGTCTATTAAAAATCTTAGGATGTACATTGAAGCATTAAGAATAATCGAGACGCTGGCCGAAAACTTAGGTTTTCTTGAGCATCGCCTAAGGTCTACGAACATGTCGTGGAAACCACGAAAAGGGTCTAAAAAAACAGTGTTCGACAGGCCTGCAGGCACGCCGGGACGCTTCGCCACTGCTCGACTCCTCCTCCCCGGCGGCCACCGGGCCTGGAGGCCGGAGCCGTCGGCGGGATCGTAGCCCCCCGGCCCGCCAGGCTGCCTCCGCAGCCGCGCCTGTCCGCCGAGGAGGAGGCGTCCGGGGGAGGTCGCGGAGGGGGGAGATCCTCCTCGTCCTCCTCGCGTCCTCCTCCTCCTCGCCTTCAACGTCGTCCTCGTCGCTCTCCTCGCCGACGCCCTCCTCGTCGTCGTCCTCGTCGTCGCCTTCCACGTCGCCCTCGCCGCCCTCGCGGTCGCCGATCCCACGGCGGCCGACTCGCCGGCCGCTTCGGCTGCACGCCAGGTGCAGGCCCGCCCGCCTCCGCGTCCCCCACTCCATCTCAGCTTCCTCTTCCTCCTCCTCCTCCTCTTCCTCCTCCTCCTCCTCCTCTACCTCCTCCTCCTCCTCTTCCTCTTCCTCCTTTCCCTCCTCCTCCTCCTCCTCCTCCTCCTCCTCCTCGTCCGCCTCCCTCCTCCTCCTCCTCCTCTTCTTTTGGGGGCCTCGCAAACATGGATTAGCGATCCATGGATTTGGTGCGCGGTCGCCAAATCCATGGATCAGGGGAGGTGCCCCCCCCAAAATGCGGCCGGTGCCGCCTCGCTCGGCGGCGGGAATCCACAATTTCCCGCAGGAACGGGATCCGTCGCCAATCCACGCCCCCGCCTGATTCTTCCGCCTCCCTCCTCCCGACTCCTCCACCCGCCTCCGCCTCCCCCATCCTCCTCAACATCCCTCCTCCTCCTCCTCCGCCTCCCGCCTCCCTCCTCCTCCAGCCTCCGCCTCCCCCATCCTCCTCCTCCTCCTCCTCCTCCTCCTCGTCCTCCTCCTGCTCCTCGTCCCCCTCCCCCTCCTCCTCCTCCTCCTCCTCCTCCTCCTCCTCCTCTCCTCCTCCTCTACAGCCTCCCGCCTCCTCCTCCTACTCCTCCTCCTACTCCTCCTCCTCCTCCTCCTCCTCCTCCCGCCTCCTCCCCCTCTTCCTCCCCCCCGAAGGATCGCTCGCGCGTTGTCGCTAAGAGCATCGTGGACCGTAAAGAGAAGGCCAAGCAGCGCAGGCTTGAATTCATTCGAGCCTCTTCTCACCAGTTTCTTAATGTCACGGGCACTTCTTGGAGGTGCTCTGGGTGCGGCCTCCATGCCCGTGAGAAGGCGAGAGGTTTCCGGGACTCCGTTTTGTCGGCTTGCCCCGCCCGTGCTCCCAGGCCTCCCGTCCCGCTCCCCAGGGTTGTTCCTTCCCTGGAGCCCGAGGCCCCCGTTGATGAGTGGCTCTGGCGCCGTTTGGGTTTGGAGGATCCGCCCCAGAGAGTTGCCCACCCTGCCTTTATAGGGGGACAGCAGTTGAATTCAAGTCACGAGCTCTGGTTTAAAGGGCGCTTTGTGTTTTGTGGTCTGTGCGGGTCCTGGGCCGCCCAGCGACCAGTCAACCTTCTGATTGGTTGCTCTGGAGCCCTGGAGGGCCCACACAAAATCGCCTCGAAGCAGTTGCAGGCGCTCCAGCGAGTACGCAAGGGTAAGCCACCTCACCAGACTGCCTCATCTTGGGGTGAACATTGTACCCTGGAGCTTTAATTTGTTTCACCGTCAAGTTTTAACCTGCTGGCAGAGTTTGGCTTGATGATGCACACGGTGAAAAATCCTCCCCCTCTTCCTTATCCTCCTCCTCCTCCTCCTCCTTATCTCCTCCTCCTCCTTCTCCTCCAACTCCTCCTCCTCCTCCTCCTCCTCGGTTCAGGTCCATTCGGAGCCTCTTTCTTTCAACACGGCCCCAAGAACATCTCGACCCGATCCTCCTCCATCCTCTTTCCCTTCCCTGATTTTCTTTCTCCTCCTCCTCCTCCTCCTCCTCCTCCTCCTCCCCCTCCTCCAAATCATTCCCCCTCCTCCTCCTCCTCCTCCTCCTCCTCCTCCTCCTCCTGCCCCCCTCCTCATCCCTCCTCCTCCTCCTCCTCCTCCTCCTCCTCCCGTCCCCTCGTCCTCCTCGTCCTCCTCCTCCTGTCCTCCTCGTCTTCCTCCTCTCCTCCTCCTCCTCCTCCTCCACATCATTCCCCCTCCCTCCTCCTCCTCCTCCTCCTCATCCTCCTCCTCCTCCTCCTCCCTCCTCCTCCTCGTCCTCCTCCTCCATCTCCATCTCCATCTCCATCTCCATCTCCATCTCATCTCCATCTCCTCCTCCTCCTCCTCCTCCTCCTCCTCCTCCACATCATCATCCCCCCTTCTCCTCCTCCTCCTCCTCCTCTTCTTCTGATTCCTCTTGCCCGATCTTATTATATGTATATATAGGTATAGTGTTGTTTTCTTGTGTCTGTTGTGTCTCTACTATCTATGTTTAGCGTTGTCTGTATCGTTATCTTTATAGTTCTCTGCATCGGTTTATTTCTCCTTATGTTTCTCCTCCTCCTCCCCCTCCTCATCTCCCTCCTCCTCGAGCACCGTAGCCGAGGGGCGTTCCTCCTCCTCTTCCTCCTTCTCCTCCTCCGTCTCCTCCTCCTTCTCCTCCTCCTCCTCCTCCTCCTCCTCTCTCCCTCACTTCTCGAGTCTACGTCACCTCCTCGAGCCTGACATCCCCGACATTCACCTACTAGACGCCAATGCTCGTGTGGGGTCCAGTGTTTCAGAGGCAGTGTCTAGCGCCCATCCCGATATTCAGAATTACCAATGCTTTCACGATGCCCTTCTGGAGCGCCGGCTCCCGACGGCTTGACTACATCGCGTGCTCCCGAGATATTTTAGTGTTTCAGGCAGAAGTTTAGGATGATGTTGGCTTGGCTATTTCCATAATGAATCACAAAACGGTGGGGGCTTTACTACAAATCCCGCTTGCGTTTCCCAAGAACCGCCAGGTCACCGCATATCCCAAGATCAAATGCGACCTATCAGCCTTTCCCGACCCGCAAGCAGTGCAGGATTTCGCCGACCATGCCGCACAGTTCGCACCATGCCCAGGTTTTTCTTTCGGTGGGGCGCCTTCCCCAGGAGCGCTGGCCTCGGCCTGGCGCCGTGCGTCCGGAGCAGCCCATCGCGTCCACTTGCATCTCCCAGGCAAGAAGGTCGAGAACTAACCCGCCGATTCCCATGACCGGGAGCGGCCCATCCCCATCAGGGGGAGCGCCGGAGTTGCCGCCCAGGGGAACGAACCGCGGGCCCCTTTTCGAGAAACGTGTTCCTCACATGGACCTCCTGTCTTGCCGGCGCTGCAGAGGCAGCGGAAGCCGTCGAGCGCTGAGGGCAGCGGAGGCCGAACGCTGACAAAAAAAATACAAGAATCGGGTCGGGCGAAAGGGGGGGATAGCAAAGGGGGGGTTTGAGAATCAGCTCACGTAGCTGATTTTCCCGGCGCCTCCCGGCGCCGGAGGCGGCATGTATCGAGGAATGGGCCCCTCGGTGAGGCCGAAACCAGCTGCATG